AAAAAAAAAAAAAAAAACACCCACGTTGTATACCATTTTTTCCCCTCCATTAATATGAGTCTATTTAAATGATACAGCAAATCAGCATTTTTTTAAACCAAAGTCAAATAAACACCGTTTCTGGGTACCTCCTGATTCAGGAAATACAGACCCAATAATGCTCATTACAGGGCAGAGCCATAAAAGTCCTTCTAAAAGGAGAGACAAAAGAAAGAGACACTTTAGTCCTATGTGTCTCTCTCTGATGAGGTCACTTATGAGGTCACAGGGTCATGTGCTTCTCAGGTGCCTGTTTATGGGCCAGGTAAAGGAAGAGGATGCTGGAGAGAGCACTGACCAGGAAGATCACGTCAAACCAGCGGTGGTAAAAGTTAAACTGCAGTTCTCCCAGTACCTCCGTCACTATGGTGCGGTACTCTAAAGGCATGCTCATCCGCATTAGGAGCACAGACGACACAAAATACATGCCCTTCAAACAGACAGCAGAGAGTGGGAGAGTGAGACAGAGATGTCGCACAATTTTGTATATGAGGATTTTTCAAATATTAGTGGGACAAGGAATCAAAAACAGTTATTCTTTAAAATCACCTTCACTTTTTTAAACAATACTGGAACCAAATATTATAACATTTCAATATAACATTTAATAGGTCTGGAACACATATTGTGAAGTGAATTCAGAATTGGAACTGAAAAATATTATTTATGATTCCTATATTACTATGTCATATAATTCATGAGAACTGATTTCTAATATAATATTACACTTTTTTTCCCCAATTCATATATATAGAGAGAGAAAGAGTGACCAGGTTAAAAAAAATTATTAAAAGTGATCCAGTATTTCTGCTGGAAAAACACTAAACAGTTTTTACACTACTGTTCAAAAGTCTGGGCTCAGTAGCTTTTTTTTACATTTCTGAAAGTTTCATGCTCACCAAGTGTATATTTTTTTATAAAGAAATACAATAATATTGTAAAACATTATTAAAATAACTGTTTTCTATTTGAATATACTTTAAAATGTAATTT